TATTAGTTTAGAGAAGATTTGTTTTCTTTTTCAAAATTCCTTTTTTCCAGTGTCTAAGCACCGTGCTTATTGAGATAAATACTTTTGTGTCCTTGGTGCTTCTGACAACTGGGAGACCTGAATTATATGCTGTGAGTTACCTGGTTGAGCAGACTAGAAACAGCAGTGGCGTTGATCTTTAAAAGTTACTCTTTGGCCTACGAGCAAACATTACAGGACAATTAGCTTGATTGTAGTTCATTGTGTTGTTAAACATCTATCAGCAGACCAAGGACTGAATAATTCTATTCCTTGCTAGCTGTCCAAAGTGAGCATCATTCAGTTATTTAACCCGAGGTATTTAACCTCAGGTTGTTTACCTGAGGCCAAGCAAAACGGGAGCTGGTTTTCCATTTGCTTGCTCTTCCTCACATTCATGAGGCCTGTTTCCATCTCATGGTCTTTTCCTTCCCGGTGCTCTCTGCCAGAACACCCTTCCCCACAAGACTTGCTCTCTGGCCCCTCACAAATGTTTGCAAATGTTCACATTTTCCTGATAGCTTTCCCAATGACCTATGTATGACTGCAACCCCCTCCCCACCTCCCTTATGCCCTTCCTAAATTACCTCATATTTTCGCAGCACTTACAGAGATCTGAGCTGTATATTTTCATGAATTATTTTGCTTTGTCTCTGACTGCCAGTACTACACTGTAAGTTGCACAAAGGCAGAATTCTTGTCTGTGTTGCTCACGGACTTTTGTCTGCATGGAAGCCCCAGGGCTCATTAACACAGTGTAGATGATTCATAACTATTTGTTGAATCCATGAGTGAATACTGTGTGTGTTACTGTTGTTAGCTTCATTTTGTCGATAGGCATCTTGCCTAAGAGGAGATGGCACGGCCAGAACTACACCCCAGGGGGCTGGCTCCGGACGGAGCCCACGCCCAGCAAAGCCCCCTAAGACGACGGCTCCCATACGCTCCCACACCTTGCTCAGAAGGCTTGGATTGGACCTGACTGATCAGAAATAAAGGCACGGAATATATATTTGCACGAAGGATGAGAGATTCCTTTCTGTTCTGTTATGGAAGACATTCACACTACTCTCTCCCTTTTTAAGATGAAAGTTACTCTTATCTCCAGATTAAAAAAAAAAAAAAGATGTATTTTCCAATTAAGTAAGTTATAGGGAACTCTAATTGGAGTGGTGCCAGAAAGACTCCTAGAATTGAACTCCTTTGCATTTCCCATTTACTATATGGTTGCTCTGAGGTTTAAATGAGACAAGGCATGCAAGTATAGTTCCTGATACATAGTAAATAGTCAATGAATTCTAACTTAAGGATTCACTGTTCAATATCATATTTGAATTTCTGCCCATCATTTAGAGATGGCTAGCTAGACTTATATATAAAAATATATTTTTTTTAATTTTTTAAAGATTTTATTTATTTATTTGAGAGAGAGAGAGAGAGCGCACAAGCAAAGGGGAGGGGCAGAGGGAGAAGCAGACTCCCCGCTGAGCAGGTAGCCCAATGTGGGGTTAGATCCCAGGACCCTGAGATCATGACCTGAGCTAAAGGCAGATGCTTAACCGACTGAGCCACCCAAGCACCCCTAGGAGAAAAAAAATAAACTATTTAAAAAATGTTTTTAGAAATGTATTTTAGGTCAGAAATATGCACATAATCATATCTTAATACTCCAAGAATCGTTGCTTTTTCTGATTTTTCCAGCTATTCCTCTTATGTGTTATTTCTTCCTTTAAATAACTTCTCTCCTTGGGCCGCCTGGGTGGCTCACTCGGTTGAGCATCTGACTCTTGATTTCGGCTCAGGTCATGCTCTCAGGATTGTGGGATCGAGTCCTGAGTCGGGCTCTGTGCTCAGTGGGGAGTATGCTTAAGATTCTCTCTCTCCTTCTCCCTCCACACTTACCCTGTTCACCCTCTCTCTCTCTCAAATAAATAAATAAACTTGAAATAGTTTCTCTCCTTAAATACGGACAAGTAGAGATGTAAAGTACTTACACAAGTGCTAACACATGTAATGGATAGATTTCAGAGGTCTGATCCTGATAGCACCATCCCCCCCTTGCTTCGTTGACTGAGAATGATGAATCCTCCCTAATTACTACGCCCTTGGCCACAGATCCTGAAACAAATACAGAGGACTGAAAGAAATAAAACAATCAAATAAGGATTTCCTTCCAAATCCTGGGTCTTCAAGCTTTCCAATATGGACACAACCTCGCATGAGATTGAAGTAGGTAGATTATCGGCTCTCACATTTCTTAAGTATTTAAATGGTCAAACAAAACTGGAGGAAGTACTTCAAGGTACCTCAGGGATTGAAAGTAATTAATGTGGATGAAAAAACTGAAAATTCTCTAGGAATTTTTCCCCCTTATTATTTTAGTGACATAACAACATAATGACTTAAATAAATAAAATGACTCAGCATTCACAGCACTTTCATCCCTAAGCAACAATATTAAGTATTAGACTCGATACATAAGAAGAAAGGGGAACATTAATCTGGACTTAACATTATTTACACAGAGCTATCCTGCTTCAGAATCCATTTCTTCTGGCTTTTATGAAAATACAAGATAATAAATTGTCTTTCAGAAAGCAGCAGCAACTACATACCAATGAACAAACAAAAAGAAATTGATAATATCTGTAACAATATGACAGGTAAAAATGACTGACTGAAAGAGAAAAACAATGGAAAAACTTTAGTGTGAGCTTTTCAGTGGTAACAAGCAGTCTCTTAATGACATAAGCAGGCTGGGTCTGAGGACCCAGAGAGGGTCCCACAGGACCAGCCAGGAGGGTCCCTGGCTGCAGGCAGGATGGAAATCTAACGCAAGCCAGCAGCAGGTAAGAGCAGAGTTTATTGAGGATACAGAGAGAATACAGGTACAGACAGTGTCTGGAAGACACAGAAAGGAAAGCAGAGAGAGTCTCATCTTTATTCAGGGTCTGAGGATTTTATTGAGGATTGTGTTGTGGTGTGCATGTCCTTCAGGCTTTCAGGAGCGGGTGAGAACAAGGACAGGTGTCCAGGTGTCCTCCATAAGTCACATTCCCTGGAGCCAAGAGTGTTGGGTTGAGATGTCCAGCATGGGTGGTCCTGGTGTGGTTTTAGAATAGATGTGAGGTTCGGTGGGGTGATGTCCGGAGCCCACGACCAAGAAAGAATTCTTGAGACCTCTTTGGTGCAAAATGGTGGTTTTATTAAAGCAGAGGGCAGAACCCGTGGGCAGAAAGAGCTGCTGCACCTGGGTTGTGAGGGATGGCTGATTATATAATATGGGGTTGGGGAAGTAAGGAAAAGGGAGGTTTTCTTTTTTCTTTTTTTTGAAAATTTTATTTATTCACCTGACAGATAAAGACATAGCGAGAGAGGGAACACAAGCAGGGGGAGTGGGAGAGGGAGAAGCAGGCTTCCCGCTGAGCAAGGAGCCCGATGCAGGACTCGATCCCAAGACCCTGAGATCATGACCTGAGCCGAAGGCAGATGCTTAACGACTGAGCCACCCAGGCGCCCGGGAAAAGGGAGGTTTTCAAAAGAACTTTCATATGCTAAAGAGGACCTACCAGATACCAGAGGCTTTGCCATTGCCAAGTTAAGGTTGTTTTGCCCTCTAGCAAGGCATTAACATAAAGATAGTTGGGAGCTTCCTGGAAGAATGTCACACATGTCCCACCCAGGAGTGGGGCTAGGGAGAGGTTGCAGGGTGTTAGCTTGTGCTTTGTCCTCAGCTTGCCTTCTGCTCCCTCATCAGTCTGGAATATACAGGAGATGACCTCATCCAGGCATTCTTGCCCGGCCACTCCTTAGATGTTATATGTTGTGCTAGAGGAGTCCAAAGAAATCATTAATTCCTTATCCCTTACAAGGGGGACATACTACAACACATGTATAAGGTGGGGATGCAGGTCCAGGAAGAATAGAAGCAGGAAAAGGAGCAAAAAGCAGATTTTTACAGAGTCCTTCAGTTTCCCTGTCTCACTAAATCTAGCATAATTCTGTGTTTCTTCAAAAACTTAACTGTGTCATTATTTGTAGTTCTGTTTTCTCTTTTTGGCTAATACTTGCCTGGCAAAGAACAGAAAAATAAGAGGAAAATATCAAGCATCTACTATCAATTCCACTGAGCCTGTTAAAAAAAAAAAAAATATTTGTTTCTTACTCTCTACTCTGAGATTTCTATTATAATGAATTCAAAGCAATTTAAAATTTGAGATTTAGCTAGAAATGGAATGCTTCAAGATATTACCCTAGCTAGTTGATTATTTCGTTTTATTTTACTACTTTATTTCATTCCATTTTATTTTAGTGAGTGTGTATCCATCATAATGCAAAATCATTGCTCAAAAGAAATACAATGCAGGCCTGAAAAAGGTGGTCACTTGGCTTAATTAAAAATTTGACTTCTGGACAGAAATCATGTCAGTCAAACCTCCCAATGTTGATTGACTTTTGTATTGTTAAAGTTCTCATTTACAAGTGAACAGGTTGAAAAATAATCACACATTTAGTAAGGGGAGCCAGTTTCAAATTTAGGTTTCTGGCTTCAGATTCAGGATTCTTAACCATAAAGCTTCCTGACTTGATATATGCTCAGCAGAAAAAGAAACCAGTGGACTAGGCAGTTTCTCTACACTGTAAACATTTATGCAGACTGTAACACATTTGTTTAAACTAGACAGATACACTCATGTAAATTAAATACATAAACCTTAAAAGAGCCATTGATCTATTTCTGCACCAGGTAAGATTATGTACACATTAGGGCGATATTATTCTTATTCATTGTTACTGCTTTCAAATGAGAGGAAATAACAGAAATGCTGGGGTCAGATATGAAATTCTGAATTAGCTCATTTTTTATCCCTTAAGAGTCTTGTGGATACTCCATGCTGTTAGTTTCCAGCTCCTATATTCCACCGTATGGACCAGGACCTGTATCAATTACTCGATAATTCAATCATGTTTTCTCTCTGAAGGCAACTGATAGAGAGGGAGACCCAATATCATACACCATTGAGAACGGAGATCCTCAACGAGTTTTTAATCTTTCGGAAACGTAAGTTAAAAATGATGTCAAAATATATTTTTTCGAAGACATTAAACAGTGTACTGGTGGGGGAACAGACTTCTAATCAGAGGTTTTCAGCTGGTTGTAGTTTTCTTTTACTTTTTTTCCCCTATGAATGCTAATGAGATCGGGGGGCGGGGGATAATTCTGAATTCAAAAATCTTACCCAGGAGACTATTTATTTTAAACATTTTCAGTAGGTAAAAATCCACTGAGGTGGAAACATTTTATTTGTAGGCTGGGATTAATTAGATCCCTTTAAAGTTGTCAGTTACTCATAATAACAAGGGCATTTCTACCAAGAGTAATGTGGCACTAAATTGTTCATTCAAAGAGAATTGTGTAAGACAAAGCATAATTCAAACACATTTAAGGTACCACCGAAATCTACCATTCCGTTTTTGAGGAATGTAGGTATATTCTGAAAAAGCTAGGACAAAAACATTGCCATGGCCCTGCTAAGCCTTCTGGGGTGTTTATTGGTGTTGCTCTACTCCCCTCGGAGTGCATCAGGAGAAAGCCAGGAGGCCTGGAAGGAGACACCAAGGTTTGCAGAGAGATCATTGGCTGCCCTTGTCTAAGAGCAAAGTTGCCCTGTTGCTGTCACGTAGGGCTGGTCCTTAGGGAGTCATGCTTGCTACCTCTCTGATTCTTTCTGTGTGTCCACGGGTGGTTTTACTCCCTAACAGAATGGAAACCTGAACGGGGTCCATGATCACAAAGTGAGAATTTTCGCAGATGAGCCAAGCACTGCTTTAATCTCAGGAACATGGGTGCATCATGCCAAATCAGGGGAACCATGCATGGTCACTCGTCTTGGGAGGAACACCTGTAATTTCACTCTGACTAGGACGTGCCAACCATGAGTGAGTTTCCCCGGAAACAGTAATTCTCAGACTTTCCGATTTCACAGATGAATAAACTTCTATTTAAAAAAATGGAAAGATTTAACTATTTGGAATTTCCCCCCATAGATACATACAAATCTCAATTAGCTGTAATTTATAATCATCCCCAAAGAAATAAAACTTTTTTTAAAGGGACACCTTAATAGGAATCATGACTGAATGGTACTGGTATAAAAGTACATGTATAGATCACTAGAATAAAGTTAAGAGTCCAGAAATAACCAGATCATAACATTTATGGTCAATCGATTTCCCCCCAAGAAAGGCCAAGACAATCCATCCAGGAAAGAATAACCTTTACAATAAATGAAATTTGGGGCCACATGCAAAAGAATGAAGTTGGATCTTTACCTCACACCATTAGCAAAAATTAACTCAAAGTGGATCATAGACCTAAATATTAGAGATAAAAGCATTTAACTCTTTAAAGAAAATACAGAAGTAAATCTTCATGATTGGAATTAGGCAATGCTCTCCTAGATATGACATAAAATATCTTCTTAATAAGAAGACAGATAAGTTGGACTTCATCAAAATTTGAAAAATACATGCTTCAAAAGACAGTACCAAGAAAGTAAAGACCACCCCCAGCCTGAGAGAAAGTATTTTAAACAATGTAGATGATAAAGGATATAAGTATATCTAGAATACACAAAGAACTATTATAACCCAAAAATAAACAGAGAAATAACCCAAATAAAAGTGGACAGGAATTTGACTAGACATTTCTCCAAAGAAGCTATATGAATGGCCAACAGTGTGTGGAGTTTCACTTGTGATCACCAGTCATTAGGGAAATGCAGATGAAAATCACCAGATACTGCTTCTCACCTATGTAGAATGTCTATAATGAGAAAAGGAAGGAAATAAGAAGTATGGGTGAGATTTCAGAGTCCTCATATATTTCTGGAGGGGAAGTAAAGTCAGTGTGTACTTTGGAGAACAATGTGCCATTTCTTCTAAATGTGAAACACAGAGTTACCGTATAACCCAGTAATTCTACCCATATCTACTCAAGAAATGAAAACATGGATCCACATGAAAAGTTGTACAAGAATGTACACAGCGGAATTATTTACAATAGCAAAATGTGGAAACCACTGGAATGTCCATCTACAGATGAACAAGGAACAGAACGTGTATCCATACAATTACTTTGTCAGTAAAGGAGAACCTAGTGTCAACGCCTGCTACAGCATAGCTCAGACCTTAGCAACATTGTGCTAGTGGAAGGTCATTCACAAAGGGCAGCACATGGTATGATCCCATTTGTACGAAACGTCCAGAATAGGCAAATCCATAGAGATTTAAAAAAAAAAGTAGATTAGTGGTTGCCTGGGGCTGGGGGTTGGGGATGGGAGAGAACAGGGAGAGACTGCCAGTGGGTGATGCTAATAGTGAAGAGCACGTTCCAGATTTGATTATGGTGATGGTTGGACAACCCTGCAAATATACCAACATTCACTGAATTGTACCCTTTAAGTGGGTGAGTTTGATCATATGGGAGTTATACGTTAATAAAGCTGTTTTTAAAAAAGACAACAGTTGAGCCTTTCCTCTGCCTGAGCAAGCAGGAAGCCCAGCCCTTACTCTCTGCGAAGGATTTCCACTCCTGTGTTTATCTGCTTTTCCCCTGAGGCTGAAAGATTTTTCAACTTCGGGCTGGGAAAGCTGATGAGCCGCCAATTTTTTTTTTTTTAAAGATTTTATTTATTTATTTGAGAGAGAGAGAGAGAGCACAAGTAGGCAGAGAGGCAGGCAGAGGGAGAGGGAGAAGCAGGCTCCCCGCCGAGCAGGGAGCCGGATGTGGGGCTCGATCCCAGGACCCCGGCCGGGATCATGACCTGAGCTGAAGGCAGCCACTTAACCAAATGAGCCACCCAGGCACCCGAGCCCCCAATTTTACCAAAGAAATTCTCCCCCTGTCCTCCTACCCTAGCAAGTGTGTCTCTACTATTTCTCTCCTCTCTGCCTTTGAAACCAATGAGACACCGTTAGGTCCCAGAGATTCCTTCAGGTGTGAAAGATGCCAACGCGGCATCCTCCTTGTCTACACTGACCACAGTTCCTTATACCACAGCTCCTACATCAACTCCTTAAGTGGAGAACGCTTCCAGGACAGCTGGAGGAGGGCACATCCTTGGGAGGATTGCATGATCTCTCTCAATGACCATTCCTGATTCAGGGTCCAGCACGCGAGGTCCGTTGCTTTCTATCCCATGGTCATTTTATGGCAGCCGCTTCATTGCTTTGCTGTCAATATAGTTGCAGGCTATCCTAGACCATTACCACACATTTGAAATGGGGAAAAGTTGAAATTTCAATCCCTTCCCTCTCTGAAACTTCTGGGCTGCCTGTGCAAATTTGCACTACTGCTTCTGTTTAAGTTTTAAGGATTCAAATACTTCAGGTACTCTTTTAGAGAATAACAGAAAAGAAAGAATGGTCTGCCTTATCAGACACTATAATGTATACAAATAATGTTTCTGGTTACATTTTCCTTCTTAGAACAACAAAAAAAGTACATGTTCATTGCTTACTTTAAATATTATATTAATTTATGCTATGATACCAATTTTAGCAATAATCGTCATTACAAAACCATTAGTCTACTTGTTCTATTGAAATAAAACTAGGCCAAAAGTTTTCATAAATCCTTAAAAGAATCAGTAGTAATAAAGAATCATTTCAATGCTAGTTTGGATTTGCAAAATGTTGGATTGTTATCTCATATTAATGTATTGGATTAGTCATATAGCCACAAAAGTAACCCACTCTTTAAAGAAAAGGACTTGTTCCTAAAAATCACAAGCATTTGTCATGAAAATCATACCATATCACCTGTTAAATGGCCAGATCTGTGTGGTTCTGTAACGCACTGCATTATTATAACAACTTTTCATAATGTTTTTGTTGATTTTTGCATATGATACAGCAAATTCATCAAATAGCCACAGATCAGTAAACATTTAAACAAGATGCAAACAACACTTCCTTTCTAGGGTGGTGGCCAAATATTGACGTTTTTTATTTCAGGAGAGTGAGGGATTCCTCTGAATGGAATTGTATACAGGGGATGTGATACAACGCTGAAAGGCTCAAATGCTGAACAGAAGAACCTCAAAGAGTTAGATCTGCCCCTTGTTAGAATTTTATTTGAAAAATTTTCTTTTTATCCTTACTGGCATTTTAATTTTTTTTCTACAAGACTAAATTCAGTTTGACCCTAAATTTAAAGCTTATTAGATTTTTCACATCAGTGTGCATTACACTGAAGATTACATAACATAGAAGAAAATGATACACATTTTCTGTTCTGTCACCCCTACTTTCCAAATCCGAATTCAGATGGAACTACTTTCTCACGCCCTCACCACCTCAGCTCCTGCCACAGTCCTCTTTTCTGAACCTCTGCCAATACCCACCTCACTCTGCCCGTCTGCGTTTGCTAACCACTAATCACTATTTGACACAGAACACCACATCCGACTTGAAGCAATCACACATTTTCAAGTATACTCTAGCCTCTCTAAGTATCATCATGAGGCTTGAAACATGGTGCCCACAGGCAACACGATAAATCTCTCAGACTCAGACACTTGTAAGTGTAAATGATATTAAATCGCAGCCAGTGGGATATATTGACAACGTTTCAAGGAAGCCTAGGGTACAAAGCATGAAACCTGTGCATAATTTCTGTCAGTGACGTGGCTGCTACAATATTTCCTAATCGACAGTGCAATTTGAGAAAGCGGCTACTGGGAGAAGCAGGTTTTAAATGCTAGCAGATTGGTTTGTGTGGACGTAGATAACCTCCTCTACGTTTTAAGTGCATGGCTTAGACAACTTTTGAACACCACTTTCATGGTTAAGTGAAGCAACTCATTGTCTCAAAAAGCTTGATTTTGTCCAGCACCACACATTTCAGAAATACAGCCTTCGAGTTTAGTGAGGGAATTCTGTGTAATCTAATTAATATAAAGGAAGTGAAATTCACATAGCATAAAATTAACCATTTCAAAACAATACAATGGCATTTAGCTGACTCAGGGTTGTACAACAACCCCTTGTCTCTAGGTCCAGAATATCTTTATCACTCCAGAAGGAAACCCAACCCAATAAGCAGCTGCTCCCTATCCGCCCCTCCCCTCACCCCTGGAAACCACCAATTTATGTTCTGCCTCTGTGGATTGATCTATTCTGGATATGTCAAATAAATGGAAGAATATAACAAACGACCTTTTGTGTCTGGCTTTTTTCACTTAGCCTAATGTTTTGAAGCTCAACCATGTGGAAGCATACATCAGTACTTCATTCCTTTTCATACATGCATAATATCTCATTGTTTGTATATACAATTTGTTTATCCATTCATCCATGCATGGACATTTGGGCTGGTTTTCTATGCCTTGGCTATTGTGAATACTGCTACTATGGACACATACGTATGTGCATTTAAGAATCTGATTTCAATTCTTTTGAGTATATTTCCAGAATTGGAATTGCTGGGCCATATTGTAATTTTATGTTTACTTTCTGAGGAACTGCCAAACTGTTTGGACAAGACCATTTTCTATTACCACCAGCACTGTATAAAGGTTCCAATTTCTTTATATCTTTGTCAACATGTTACTTCCCCATTTGTTTTGTTTTGTTAATTATATCCATCCTAGTGGGTGTGAAGTGGTATTTCACTGTAGTTTTGATTTCTATTTCCCTGAAGAGTATCTTTTCATGTACTTGTTTGTCGTGTTTGTATCTTCTTTGGAGAAATATCTTGTTTAAGTCCTTTGACTAATTTTTAATTGGGTCATTTGTACTTTGTTGTTGAGTTTTAAGAGTCCCCAGTACATTTGGTGAGCCAGATTCTTATCAGATATATGAATTGCAAGTATTTTCTCTCATTTTCTAGGGTTTTTTTTTTTTCCACTTTATTTATGATGGCAAAAATTCTTAATTTTGGTGAAGTCCAGTATACCCATTTTTTTCTTTTGCTGCTCATGCCCTTACTGTCCCATTTAAAACCCATTGTCGAATCTAAGATCATGAAGATTTATCCTCGAGTTTTTGTCTAAGTTTCATGGTTTTAGTACTTATATTTAGATTGTTGATCCATTTTGACCTAATTTCTGTATATGGTGTAATAAAATCGTCCAACTTCATTCTTTCACGTGGAGATCTCCAATTGCCCCAGCACCCTTTGAGGAGACAATTCTTTCCCTATTGAATGATCTTGGCATCCTTGTTGAAAATCAGTCAGCCACAGACATATGGGCTTATCTCTGGACTCTCAGTTCTGTTCCATTCCCAAGTATACATGGGTGCTTTTAAGTGCCCCAATTTCCCAAGAAATTCTCTGCCCATCTTTCCTCCCAGGCATCCAACGCTCTCTTGTATACCTCAACTATGATCTTTGCCTCAGATGACTGCAGGTTGTTTCCTGCCTTACAGAGTCTTCCAGAAAAACCCACGGCTTTTCTGCCTCCAGTGAGCTCTGACTTAGGCAAAATAAAGACAAACAGCATGCGTTATTCCTTCCGGCAGCCTCCAGAATGGCAAACACAAGTCTTTGTGAATCAGGGTAGTTCTGCTCCCTCCAGAAACAGGCACCATAGTGTCACACTGGGGATGCTGACGACCATCTTCAAAACCACTGATGTCGCTCCTGTGAGATAGGTTTTCAGTCATGTAAAATTTAAGTAGCACCATTGTTGATGTTTTAACAGAAATGATGCTTACATATTTTTATTATGGGAACTTAGAAGATTTCCTGCATTCCTAAATGCAGCCCCATGTATCCTGGTCTGTAGCTTCCAGCCAGCTCGTAGGAAGACTCACGTTTGCTACTTATTTCTGGAATTTCAGGAAAGCATGCTTGTGTGTACCCATCAACTAGTCTATAAATACCAAAAAAATAGTACCTATTTTTTCTCTCCTTCTCCATTTCCCAAATATCCTGTCTCACTGGCACACATCATCTCAAGCAAAGATCTGTCTCCATGATAAACACCAGACCGTTAAAAATTAGCTGTTTATGTATAATATGGCTCTAAATGGGAATACAATATATATTTCAAGAGATTTTCTAATTTAATGTATAAAGAAGAATATAGAGATTTGAACCTTAAACTGAGGGGGGAAAAAGTGGAAAGCAATAACTCAGTTTTCTTTTTTTCTTTCACTGTACCATGGCTGGGTTTTCAGGTCTCCCATTTCTTAAGTAGCTTATGAATAAGTCTCTGAAGCAATACATGTCTTACTTTTCTCTTGAAGTCATTGTAGAATGAGATTATCTGAACCATCTGCAGTGTGGGAAGTTACTCCAAAAGCCATTGTTATGAACTACTCTGGGAATTGGTTTTCAGTTATTTTGACAGAACATTTAAAAATGTACAAGTCGTAGAGTTTTCCATAGTTCTACCATACATTTAGAACTTTTCAGTCTGTATGATCAACAACACAGTAAAACAGAGTAACTGGGACTCTGACTTTGATTCATTGATGTTGAGTCTCATTACCCAACTACCATGTTTGATGTGAATGGCTTAAATTCTAGTGTAACAATAAAAGCACTTGTATTAAAATGTGAAAGTCTTTTATCAATCAAAAAAGATTGTTTTCATGCTTGAATAAATGTTTTAATGTTTTATTATATTAATATAACTTGTCCACTACAATAGATGTTTTTTAGGACTTTATTAAAATGTCATGTAGGAAATCAGATGGTAATATCTCAGACATAAATGTGGAACTTGTTTTAGAGAGCATTATAAGTGACAAAACTGTTATAAAACAAATTACATTGCAGAAAAAAGGCATAAATACTTGGAGGCATTTATTTTAAATGGTGAAAGGGCATGAAGTAGTATAAAATATTCAAATTATGAGAATTTGTCCAGAGGCTGTTCATCTCCCATTACATAATAAATAAAATTAAGAAACATCTAAATTTCAAAAGAATAACAAAATGATAAAATTGTTAGTGTATCTGACAGAAGTTTGTTTTCATAAACTATAAAATGAGAGAGTGAATGCTCATGAAATTATGTTTTCTTAAATAGGATGTAAAATACACAGTCTGATTTCTCTTTGGAAAATGATATAATGTATTCAGATATTATTATAGAGAATAAAAATAAATGTTACAAAAATAATCACAATATCTATGAGAGTTTTAATATTCCACTGTATATTTTTGAATTTTGTACAATGAGCCTCAATTGTTTTGAAATTAAGAAAGAAGAAAAAAATAGATGTTAATTGCTAATGTTTGTCAAAGATGGGATTCAGATGTTTGCATTTCCAGCATGGATACCTATGTGACAATGAACGGGAATGACAATATATATTAGTTCTAAGAAACCATTCCTTGATTCAAAGGATTATGAAACTGCTAAAGATTAATTGAGTCTTCCAACTTTGACATAATCATAAACAAGATAGATATCTTTCTTCCCAGAATGAATTAAGCACAGTTTTATTTTTCTCCTGGAGGCTGGAGAATCGGTTCGGTTATCTCCTTCAGTTTGGCAATTTTTCATTGTTGCTAAGAAGCTCAACAGCCTTAAAAGCTTTTTTCAATTTTCAACATGAATCTGAGAATCATGCATCTTAAATATTCAGGCTACATTTGCTGAAAGGGAAAAAACAGTGGAAAGTAGTTCCCAATGGGAGAAAGGCTCCCTGTGACTTAAGATCTTTGTGTGTCTTAATCTGTTTTTTGTTTTCTCTGTCACTAGTACTGGGATTCTAACTTTAGGGAAAGCCCTGGACAGGGAGAGCACCGATCGCTACATTCTAATCATCACTGCTTCAGACGGCAGGCCCGATGGGGTGAGTACTCAGCCTGGGGACAATGGGTGGTAAGAACAGAGCTTACCTGGTAGTCTGATGCTCTGAAACAGTGTATCATAATCATGAGTCTGGGAATTAATCTCCTCACCCAGAGCAGCTCCTTAATACTTGGAGTAGTGCTCTTTTAATAGTTGAACCTATATTCTGAATCTGTCAGGGTGGTGGAACTTTTTGACTTGACAGAATAACACACTTGGGATTGGCATTCTTACCCAGCTTATGGGGAAAATGAAATCTAACAGTCTAAAACGCATTCCATGGTGATCATCATCGGCACAACACTCTGAAATGTCTCCTGGCAGTTTTGACTCTGTTGGAACCTGTTCCCTTTCATGTCACTTTGTTGGGGGGCAGAGTGTGGATAGATGTCTTGAAGCACTTAGGAAACCAAGTTGATTGATTCCACAAGTTGTAAGCAGCATTCAGGATCCTGACTAATCCTTGGTGATGGAAGTGGTTTAAATGGGTCCATAATTCCAGAGAGGATAAATGTTATTTTCTCTGCACCAAAAATCAGTTTTAAGAATAAAGAAATTGTTTAGTCATTCTGGAGTGTTTTAAAATCATTTGTATTCTTTTTTTTTTTTTTTTTTAAAGATTTTATTTATTTATTTGACAGAGAGAGAGACACAGCAAGAGAGAGAACACAAGCAGGGGGAGTGGGAGAGGGAGAAGCAGGCTTCCCGCAGAGCAGGGAGCCCAATGCGGGGCTCGATCCCAGGACCCTGGGATCATGACCTGAGCCGAAGGCAGATGCTTAATGACTGAGCCACCCAGGCGCCCCCATTTGACTGTATTCTTTAAACTAACTTGCTTACAACCACTGCTGTTCTAATTTTTTAACATTGTAACATTTCAAATTTTGGTAACAGGTACTAGACTGTTTTGTTGTTGTTGTTGTTTTGTTGTTTTGTTTTTTTACCATTTCTATGATGCAAAGTAGTTTTTTCTTTAGTCAAATGCTTATGGACCAACTCACTGTTCTCTGGAAATAATTTCAAATTCAGTTTAGGAGTCTAAGCAAGGCTCACCCAGTTAAAATAGTAACATGGCCCCACATGACTTGAAATGACTTGTTTGATCTGTATGATAGATTGGCTGGGGGTGTATACTTGAGGAGGATTGCTCAGAAAATCTTACCATGATAAAAACATATAAACTGAGGCACTTGGGCGGCTCAGTCGGTTAAGCGTCAGCCTTCAGCTCAGGTCGTGCTCCTAGGATCCTGGGATCGAGCCCTGTGTTGGGCTCCCTGCTCAGTTGGGAGTTTGCTCTTCCCTATCCCTCTCCCCCTACTCATGCTCTCTCTTTCTCCCTCTCTCTCTCTCAAACAAATAAATAAAATCTTAAAAACAAAACAAAGCATATAGACTTGCTACCCGGACACTTTTATTACTTTAATTAAAAGTTAGAAAAATAGATAATTAATTAAATTTGATAAAACTGCCCATAATAAACCATTTACCATTGCTCAAACATTAGGTAAAACAGTTACATGTAGAAAATAAAATATACAGAACAATCTGAGTAAATAGTGGGGCCAGTAGAAGGTACTTAGATGTGTGAAGAAAAATAAAACTCAGATTGATTTTATATATGCAGCATCCCTGATTAAGAGTGTGCCTGTGTTAGATCTATGTAAAGAATTCGATGCAGCGCTCAAGAAGAAAATGAAAGAATCTGACGTGTTGAAGATTAACTGGTAACTTGTCTAGAAGATAATGAGAGGGGACCTGAGGAGGAGAAGGCATTATTCAGTATGGAGGAAGGGGTGTCAATAATGTAAAATAAATGAGTAGAAGTAAAATAAATGAGTGGCATTCAGGTCAGTCATTAGGATAGAAAAAAATCATTAGGATTAAAAAAAAGAAAACAATACACAGCTTTGGAAGATGTCACATTACAAATCAGATATTAATGGCAGTGGTTTAGGTAGGACCCTTTAAATCTGGTCTTAACAATAATTTCTTAGACAAGAGAACAGATGGGAAAAAATAGTATATTAAGATATCTGACATAATCTCAATCTACTAATTATGGGTTTGCCCACATCCAAAACTGAGAATAAATTCTGGGTTAATTTCTTCTAGAGCATTTTTTTTTTCCAGTTACTTACTTGGGTATCTCAGTCCCCTTGGCCAGGGGTCACAGCATTTTTCGTCCCCACCCCTCACCACCGCAGCCCCCCTGTTTTCATTCCTAGGATCAGTAAGGTCTCCTTCAGCTTTAAAATTCTAACCCTCTTAAGTAAATGTGTTTTATTTTCAAAATTTGTATTGAGAATATCAGTAGAGAAAGGAACATTTAAGTTTCAAATAAAAGCTTCTTTAGCTAATTCCATTATTTACGTAATTTTAGGGATGAACATCTATGTGGGCACATATTGTGGGTTCCTGAAGGAGAAAGTGATAACACAATCACTACAATGTTGTGTTGTGACATGCTTTTCTTATCTACACATGTAAACTTATTTCCTTTGTAAAGTTATGGTAAAATTAACCTTTTAACCCTAATGATTATGGTTTTGAAGAAAGATATTTAATGAACACAGACCCCAGGTCTATACATTCTTCTTAAATCAAAATTATTACCAGCAATTTGTGTGAAACAGATTGCGAAGATATAATTTGATAATTTCATCATGGAAAACCACCTCCCCTACCACCCCCAAAATATGTTTAAGGGAAAAGAGAGCTAATGTTCTATTGCTCATTGCTAATGTTTTTGTAGACAAAGTTGAAAAAATGTTATTGATGTTCTTGGTTTTTTTTCCATTCTCTAAATCAACTTTGTCAATAGTAGCTGAAAAAAACCTATACAAGTTAAATATCTCATTATTATAAATATTTAGATTTCTTCAGCTATCATGAATACAGATAAACTCATACTTTCTAGAATTAAATAGTTATTTACACTTACTTGGAATTCTTTGCAAATCTATAAAGTTGAAAATTCCTTAAGAAAGCTTCCACCATGTTTTATTCCAATATTTTCACATTTTAGCTGAAAAGACTTCGAAATTTTTGTATATCATATACTTTTTATAAGCAGCTACATTTTACCTTATAATAATAGCATCTAGGATAGCTCCCAAATGCATTTTTTCAAGGAATATACACGCAAATTCTTTTCAGAAGCGTCTTTGTAACATTATTTACTTCTAAGCTAAACTAAGTCCAACCAATCTGAACTAAAAATACATTTTATTGGAAAATTTTATTGGAAAATCTGGGCAAACCTTATTATGTTTATGGATATAATTTGATCCACAGGGAGGAAGAAGTTTTCCTCGACCCTCGCTTAAGGTCCCTGGCTGGGTCTGAAAATTAAAGTGACAAAGACAGATTAAGAGGAGAAAGCATACAAATTTATATAAGTTTTACATGATGTTTTAGCCCCCATAAAGAAATGAAGACCCAAAGAATCGGCAAAACCTACTTTCTTTCGAAGTAGGGGAAAGGGAGAGAGGCAGGTGTGGGAAGGCAACTAAACTCTGTTGGGAGGCTAAAGGGAGGTGTGAATTATTTTAACAAGGTCTGCTTGTATAGAATTCTCTCTCTCTCAACCTCTTGTGCTTGTTGATAATAAAAATGTTACCTTCCTTCTGATACAGGGAGTCCATCTTTCACATGGGAATGTAATATCCTGCTTTTATGAAAAAGAAGGAAGGACTGAGTATTTTTCCTGTATTTGCTATTTTTTCAAGTGCCTTTCATTCAAAGGAGTCAGTTTAGCAAAGTGGCATATTTTGCGGTGATGTTCTCTGAACTCCTTCAACAAGCAGTGGTAGGGATAGCCTTTAGAAGCTGGCTGTAAGAGGAAGCCAAACAGCAGGGGCTTAAACAAAGCAGGGTTTGTTTGTCTCACATATAAAGAAACATAGGGGTGGACAGGAAGGGCTCAGGCAGGGGCTCCTGCTGTCTCTTACCCACTTTGCCATTTATCCTGTGTTTGCTTTCTTCCTCAGTCTACTTACCTAATGGGTTTACAATGACTAATGCAACTCTAGGCATCTGCTCTGCTTTGCAGAGAGGCAAAGAAGAGTCTGCCCTTTTCTCTACCTGAACTAGAGCTCTTTCAGAGACCACACCTGGCATAACGCTTCTTAGATCTTATTATCCACACTGGGCTGAAAGATAAGGAGTAAGTAGGGCTTTGTGGATTGTAGTTGTCTATAAAACAATAGCACAGCAAAATATATGCATATGCAAATCACAGTGAAAAATATAAATATGCAAAGAGAAGTCAGGATTTTCTCTTTCTTTTTTTTTAAACAAATTTATCAGTTGTCATTTCCCAATGGGGAAGCATTCCTATTCAAAATACAGAGTTGGGGGTGCCTGGGTGGCTCAGTCCTTAAGCGTCTGCCTTCGGCTCAGGTCATGATCCCGGGGTCCTGGGATCGAGCCCCGTATTGGGCTCCCTGCTCTGCGGGAAGCCTGCTTCTCCCTCTCCCACTCCCCCTGCCTGTGTTCCCTCTCTCGCTGTGTCTCTCTCTGTCAAATAAATAAAATCTTTGAAAAAAATAAAAAAATAAAAAAAACAAAGTTGTTCTGTAGTGTGGATATTTCTGACCAGATTTCCATGAGTTCAGCAATATGGTTTTCATTCTTGAACTATATGATAGATAACTTGATTATATCATGGTTTTTGCTCTCAGTAAAATTTTCTAGAATTCCTAGCTTGACTTCCTCGATTATGGCTTTCATAGTGAATACTGGTAATGTCTTATGATTCCGGATTGGCAGGAAACTTAGCGTCTAAGCTTGGGCCTTGAACTGACATTATTCCCTGAATGTCTTTTATTTTATTTTATTTCATTTTTAAAGATTTTATTTATTTATTTGACAGAGAGAGAGGAGCACAAACAGGCAGAGAGGCAGGGAGAGGGAGAAGCAGACTCTCCGCTAAGGAGGGAGCCCAATGCATGGCTCGATCCCAGGACCCTGAGATCGTGACCTGAGCCAAAGGGAGATGCTTAACTGAGCCACCCAGGTACCCCCCTGAATGTCTTTTAAATGTGACAATATAAATAAGCAATTAGAATCTAGAAGCTGAACATTTAACTGTTTAGTCAAACTATAGGAAACATTAACAAGAGAAAAAAATATATGAGAAGAATTGTGGGTGAAATGCAAATAACTGAATTTCAATATAGCTCATTTAATAAAATTTTAGAACAGAATAATGATACATATATATATAAATACATATATATATGTTTTTTTAAACAAAACTGCATATATATATATTTTTTTTTTTAAACAAAACTTTTATTTGGGTGTATACTCTTATAAGAAGAAATGACCATGTAATTTTAAAAGAGAATGAGCTACTTGTTCATTCTCTTTGAAAAGCATAGATTTATATTTCTCATTTTTGGGAATAAAATACTGACATTTTAGTGTTTTCTGAAATAAATCTTCCAGAAGTTTGATTTTTTTTAAATTGTGAGATAATCTGTGAAGTTCTACTAGTCTCTGCTATGTTTATATTATATATAATAAATTATATTACATATTATTACAATATAGATATTTATAAAGTATATACTCTCCTCACACTGCACTCAGATATGCACAGAATTAAAAGCTCCTTTTTTTAAATCCCTAATCTAATCTTCCTGAGTCCACTCTGCTGCCTAGATAGTAATATGTCCCTGGGCTGGGTCGGGTCACACTTCACTTGCTTGAAACAACATCCCAACCTCTTTTGTTTTAACCACTCTTGTCAAGGTAAACATGTACTCACCAGTGAAGCTGCTCTTCTCTCTTGCCTACCCTCATCCTAAAATTGTACAGATGCAGGGTGTGCTTAATAGTTCTTGAGGTCATAGTAGTTTATGAAAATAAATGTGAGGGGCACCTGGGTGGCTCAGTTGGTTAAGCGTCTCCCTTCGGCTCAGGTCATGATCTCAGAGTCCTGGGATCGATCCCCGCATTGGGCTCCCTGCTCAGCGGGGAGTCTGCTTCTCCCTCGCCCACTCCCCCTGCTTGTGTTCCCTCTCTCACTCTGTCTCTCTCTGTCAAATAAATAAATAAAATCTTAAAAAAGTAAATAAATTTGTATTCAAATGGTCTGCTACAACAGAAATATCTGCTTGCATTGTTGAGAATTTAATACATATTGTGAGGATTTATCCATGATTTAAAAGAAAATAAAATCTATGACGTTATAATTAAAATAACTAATGACCCCAAAAGTGATAATTTATGGAATATAGTACTAAACTGCAAGTACTTCCAGCTAGTAGAATTGTAATTTGATACAACTTTTGAGAAAATAAGCAGTAAGACAAATTCTCTTAATGGGAAACAGGTAGCTTTGCACTAATCAGGTTTATTAGTTTGGTATCTTAGCTTTTTTATTTAATTGGCATAATATAAATCGATTTTTAAAATTAATTATGAACATATGTTAGCCGACATATTGTTCTTTTTATTAACTTTACTTAAAATGACCTGAGCTGATAGTCTAAGTAGGCAACCTTAACCAACTGAAAATCTGTTCTTGATATGATACAAAATTCCTCTAGGGCACAGATCCATATTGAAGCAGTGTCACCATCTTTCTGAACCAATCAAAAATATTTACATAATTGTGCTTTACAACTAACTAATCTACAACTATTTCAGGAGATTTAAATGAATAGAGTCAATAGGTCTAATGTGTAGCCTGGGCACTTGTAATGATTAATCAAGTGATTCTGATGCAAGTGGTCTCTAGACTACTTTTCAAGAAATACGTAAGTTGGAAATTATTCTATGTGTTCATAGTTTTTATTCCTCATGTCATATACAATTACTAAGATGTGGAGAAATACATCTATACATAAATTTCAGCCCCTATTAGCACAAAAATGGTTGATTTGTCCTTTAACTTTTCAGATTACTTAGTGATCCAGCTCTCTTCTGTCTTACCTAGCTATAGTCCATAGTTTTTGACTGAGGACCGAAACAGTCTGAAAACATCACACACTATAGGGTCAAGAGTGGGAATTGTAAAAAATAGGATGGAAACCCATCTAGTAGATTGACAGGGAAGTGCAGACAGGCTGCCATAAAGAGGGTCAGACAATTTGAAGGAAAGTCAGCAGACTCTAGTGTGGCTACTCTTAGATTTTGACTCCAGGCTGTCAATTTTAACGTTTTGTTCACCTTCAGGCAAATTGAGAACTACTGCTCCTGTAAAAACATCCTTTTACTGGTTTTAACTCACACAACTTTTAGAGAAATAACATTTGTTTAACTGTTTTGTTGTTGTCGTTGTTATAAAAGCAATGTAGCCTTGTTGGAGAAAATGTGAAAAATACATAAAAGTTAAAATAAGCAAATTAAATTTTCTGTATTTCATCTAATCAGAAAATGTTCGAATTTATACAGAACCACATATATCTAATACAAGTGTGTTTGTGCTCATGCATCTTTTAAATTACACGGTTTCATGAAGATATGCACGCAGAAGAATGCACAAACTTTAATTGTGCAGCTTAATAAATTTTCACATAGTGAACACATCTATGTAATCAATATTTAGAATAAGAAACTGAAATCAGTTAGCAGCCCAAGAGCCCAGCCTTATGATTGCGCTAGTCCCAGACCCCTTCTTCATAAGGTGATCCCTATTCTGACTTCTATCACAATGAAGACACTGTGCCAATCTTTGAAATGTATACACTTGGAATCATATAGTATGTGCTACTTTGTGTCTAACTTCTTACCCTCAACCTTATGTTCTTGAAATTCATCCCTGTGGGTACTTGTAACCATGCTCTGTTCATTCTCAGTATTATATATTATTGCACTGTGCACATCAAACCATCTACTACTGGTGGACATTTAGGTTGTTTCCAGGTTTTGACTACATAATACTGTTCTGGTCACCCTTGGCATGCCTTTAAATAAAATTTTTATTGGGCTTTTCAATATAGAAATATGTAAAAATCATACTGAATAGCTGTATGAATTTTCACAGATTAAGCCCATCAATGTAGCCAGGACACAAATAGAGAAAGAACCCATTATGAATACCCAAGAATTCCCTGCTATGCATGGTGATTTTTAAATGACTGCTGGATATTGCATGTGGAAAAATTATAAAAGCTTGCAGTAAAGTCATATTGCTCAAAAGAGTATATACTTTTGCTTCTGTTAAAATAGGGACAGACAGCCTTAATTCAATTGGAGTTTCAGCTTTGGGTTTTAGTCAAAGTGAGGTAAGGTCTAGACCCCATGCACCATTACTAATAGAGTGTACAACGTCAATGATCCCAATAAGAAAGACAAGGACAAGTCATTTACCAGGTCCTTGCCTCCTCGGTCACTAGGAAATCCAGTGTTTGACCCCTCAGCCCATGACGGCTGCAGGATCTCCCCAGATTCATTCCCTCTGAGCCAAGCGTTGGTGCACCCCACATCACGTACAATCAGGACAAATTGTGTCGGTATTTTTTAAAACAAAAGTTGGGTAATTATTTCATCTTCCATATTTCTCCTACTTTTTAATTTACATCTTGTCACATATGTAGTATCATCGCCTGATGGATTTTTCATTTTCCATCCAAGGGCCCTTTCTTTCTCTGATTCTGGCCCTAGGCTTCTGTAATGTGCCCCACACTATCACAGAGCTGGGTGCAGGGCAGGTGCTGCTTCTCAGGCTTTGATTAGAAAGAACAGTTTCCAGCCTGACTCACATCTGAAGATGTTCCTTGATTTTGCAAAAGTTGTTGACCTACGTAACAGTCTCTGGTTGCAGCAGGCCAAGGGTTGACCTTTGAACCAGGTAGCACATACTACTTTAAGTGTACCTGCTTACCACGTCCTTGGGCTGTATGACCATAAAGTAATCAGTTAACTAGTGATACGTGGTGCTCAAACTCTCGGTGTAGAGGTGAACCCAGAAAATGATGAATGTAGTATTTTCTGACAGCATTTACTTACCTGAAAATACCCATTTGATGCACTGTGCTCTTTGATAGGACACCATTTTTATTTTTACACAGTGTGAAATGTAAGTGATATAAACTAGAGAAATGTTATATTTCAGAGAAAAACAGGTACATGTGTGTATAAACAAAAGCTTGCCACCCATAAAATGTGAACAAGATAAAGGTAAAATCACTTTCTCAAAGTAAGCCTCCAGGAAATATTTGACATTTTCAAGAAGATGTTTGCCCTGTAGTATCATCATTTGTTTTCTCCATCTGTTTTTTTGAAATGCTTGAATATTGCAAACCTCCTGGGTTTTTTTTTGTTTTTTTTCTTTTTTCTTTTTTGGAAAGCTAAGCAGTAAGAATAGCAACGAGATACTTTGGATTTTAGTTGGAGTGAGGCAAGGTCTCGCTCTATTTCAGACAGACAAACTCCAAGATGACCAATGAGATGACATCAACATGAAAATAACTTCTTTCATATTTAGTCCTTCTTTTTTCTCCTTTAAGACCTCTACTGCTACCGTAAATGTGGTGGTGACAGATGTCAATGACAATGCACCAGTGTTCGACCCCTTTCTGCCTAGAAACCTGTCTGTGGTGGAGGAAGAAACCAATGCCTTTGTGGGCCAAGTACGGGTAAGTGGAAGATATATATTAAATGTATTTTTTTGTTGAATACGTTTCTCACATCTTAATTTTGAAAGGAGATTCAGCTAATGCAATGTGAGGTGGGCCATCAGAATTATTGAAGGTGATCAGTGAGTGAGATCACTTGGGTATAAGGCAAAACAGAATAAAGTGCATTCATTCTCAGTCACAGTGCTGGATACTCTTCAAGATTTTTTGTTTTGTTTTGTTTTTCATAAATCACCTTGTGTCCATTTGGATTTCACTTATTAAGCTTGTTGATTCATATTTGTGACCCTTAAGTGCTTTGAACATTGATTCATTGGAAGGGTATTCTTTTCTTATTTAATATATATTTTTATTTTCTGAAATTATAATAAGGTATCTGTAGAGAAATATGTAATTAGCTATATCATTAAGTGTGAATTTGTAAGTGCATACCTCAGAATACAGATGTTTAGAGGTATATTCATCTGGTTGTGTAAACATCTATATAGTGTTTGCTTTGTACCCATATTTCACACACACACCTCTTGCCCAGTGTGCTCTCCTGATCCTAAGACTGGACATATAAGCCAGTTTCTCTAATTCCTTTGATGAATAATCCCATTTTTCTTATAGAAAGCATAGTATTTCCTCAGTTGGGCCATTCTTGGTCTTGAACATGGTGGATGGTTTAGAAGCCATAAGCTGAGGGCGAATTTTGAGGAAGGCACACATATTTCACAGTATCTACCTGAGATGAGGCATCTGTGTGAACCACAGGCAAGGAGAGAACCCTTCTCTCTCAAGGAGTGGGTCATCCAAATGTATGAGTCCAGACATCAGGAACCCACCCTTTCCCTGTTAAAGCTTTAAGTCTTGAATAGAAGTTTTGCTGGTGCTTTGAAGCAAGCCTTCTCTACAAGACAGCTGCTCTTCCAGTCAGACAAAGGTCTGGTGTTCAGTCCAGTTTCCTCTCTGGCTGCAGAAGGGGAGGTCCTCTCTAAATGTTAAAGGCAGAGACCTCTGCCTTCCATACCATGCCCTGAGATTTTGCTGGTCAGCGTGAGCTCATCAGTTTTTTCCCTCAGAGCTCTGACAATACTTAAAACAGCTCCATAGTCATTATCATCATCATTGTCACTCTGTCTCTCAAATCCCAGAGAGAGAGATTGCATAGGGCATACATTCCCTCATGCCTTGATGCTCCCCAGCTCACCACAGGGAAGAGGATTAGTCATCGACCTGCTGCAACAAACTACAGAGTCTTGATGCCACGTAGCCAGCAAGCCATCCAACTCCAGAACCCTGTGTAGTAATACCTCCTGTGTCACAACTTTTACTGTGGACTCTATAAGAGGAGACCTGTGGACAAAAAATTGAGGAAGAAATCATTTTGGAGAAGTTCAAGTGATACTCACAGACAAGTAGGAAGTGATGCAGGGAAAAGACAGCTGCTAATGAAGGGACAGCTACTAAACCAGTCATTAGAAAGACTGGAGCTCAATCCCAAGGGCGAACCTAGGAAATTCTGCAAACACATGTCCCAGAATTATTGATGCTGAGAAGTGATGGGACTGGCAAATTCGTGCACAAAATCCTGAGATTCCTTGGTCACTGATACTGTGGAGGAGGGTATTTTTGGTACTTCCTGCCTCCAGAGCAAGCAAGCAGCCAGCTCTCTGCCATGTGGATACAAGGGCATTGGATCAGACTGTATAGATACCAGCAGATGGAAGTCAGTCAGAAAGTATACATGTTCCAAGGGACAGACATGGGGCACTGACAGTGTCTATTACAGCAAGCAAACAAGGTGGTAAAATCTGAGTGGCATGTGCAGAAAACACAGAAAAGGAGTTGGTGCTAAAGTTGGCTCATGAAGGATGAATATTGGTGAGAAGAAAATTGGGAGGTGTTGGAAGCGGTCTAGCACGTGATTGCATGAAAAAAGCACAGACACAGAGCATAGGACAGGTCATATTACAGCAAGTGTGCCAAGTTATAAACATTTCTCTGTGCATGTTGGAGAAGGTGCTGGTGGGGAGGATCCCTGGAGGATCTGACGTATGGCATCACTAGATTTTTATTATAAAGATTACTCCTGAGTAGATTGTGATGGGAGATTCTACATCCAGAAAGCTGGATCAGAAGGTAATTATAATAGCCCAGATATAGAGGCCTGAGCTATTATGATAGTCTAGTCATAATGATGATTAAAAATCTGGGCATCTGGATGGCTGAGTGGGTTAAGCATCTGCCTTCGGCTCAGGTCGTGATCTCAGGATCCTGGGATCGAGTCCCGCATCGGGCTCCCTGCTCAGCGGGGAGTCTTCTTCTCCCAATGCCTCCACCCCTCCCCACCATTTGTGCTCTCTCTCTCTCTCTCAAATAAATAAATAAAAAATCTTTAAAAAATACCATTACAGTTGTCACTCTAGTTGCCCCATTGATGAACACTGAAAAGTCTGTTTAGTCACATCTACCAACTGCTCAGATAAACAGGTATTGAAATCATTTAGGAAAATTATCTTTTCCATTTATCTTAATTTACTTAGCACTGGAGCAATAAAACCCATATGGAATATATAATCAATAATATGTAGGGTGCCTGGGTGGCTCAGATGGTTAAGCGTCTCCCTTCAGCTCAGGTCATGATCCCAGGGTCCTGGGATTGAGTCCCGCATCAGGCTTCCTGCTCAGTGCAGAGCCTGCATCTCCCTCTCCCTCTGCCATTCCTTCTGCTTGTGCTCTTCTGTCTATCTCTCTGTCAAATAAATAAATAAAATCTTTAAAAAAAAATATGTAAGTAGACATTAACATAATGATTAATTATTAGTTATTTTTACTTTTCCTTTCTCTTTATTATTGTCACTTTTCCTAGTGGTTCTTTGTCTTTGAAGGACTTACAGCATGAAGTTTGTTTCTCTTCTCCTAGTTCTTAAATTAGACGAGAAATGGTCTCTGTAGTTTATTTCAGCATTAAAAATTGAAATATAAACCTTAGCATTCATAATTTGACAAAGCAGTAATGGTCCTGGTCTTTAGGCAATAACATGTTTTCATAAAAAACTAAAATGAGTTTGAAAGTACAAAGGAACACAAAACCATGCAGAGCAGGTGCATCCTACTGATTCTGCTCAGTTCCAGACAAGTTGTAATGTTCAGAGAATGGAATTTTGATGCATCATAATGGTCTCCTGTTGCTACCTAATGATAATTATATAATACATTAATTTCACTAAATGACTCATGCTCTGCTTATAAAATTTAATTTTAATTGTCACCAAAAAACTATTAAGACACACTTAAAACCAAGATACGTATGGTTAGTTATTGCACTGAATTTGAGCTACCTACTTAAGGAGTTTTTGTTGTAATGATGTTTAAGTATGCATAATCCAGTATTTACATGCAAATGCTGAAGGAACTTTTTATTTACTTTCTATGTGTTAAGGTATTGTTGTAGTATCAAACTTTATTAAATAGAGAATACTTCCAAAGCAGTATTTATGGATTATGCAGAGCAGAGGAGTTTTATCAGCATATTAAAAAATAAACTACCAACCAGTAATTTCTGAACATAGAACTCACTACACACAAGTATGATATACCACACTTAACTTTGGAAATCATTTGCATAATTCTCAGAGCAACTTGCTGCAAAAGTATTGTTGGGGTGAAAAGAATGTGTGCAGAATGAAACCTAGCACACACAGTAAGAACACACTCCCTCTCTATGTCATGTGTCCAATGTGCCATCCTGACGATTTCCTAAAGGATGAGGAACGCCACAGAGGACGAAGGCAGCTGTATCAGGGTTCATGGGAAAATGTATTCATCTGCAGTATCTTGACAAATTAGTGAGATTCGAGGTTGAAGAAAAAAAAAAGAAGGAAAAGAAAGATGCCAGGCAGATATGGACTGGCTAGCAATGGTTCATCCTGGTGTGTGAGTCAGGTGGACGAGTTTGGTCCCACCATAAACCCCGGGTCTGCAGAAGCAGAGAATCGTGACACCCCACCCCATTCAACACGGTGCATGCCATTTTCATTCATTTTTTCAAATATTATCTGATGGATTCCACCGTAAGTCTGGGTGTGGAGTGAGGAGGAGATAAAGGGCGGGATCTGCTCAGTAAGCCCTGTCTTCCGCACAGCGTCCCAAAAAGAACTTCTTTGTAGTTGTCCAACAGAATTTAGCATGAGGGAGGATGAGAAGCTGTTTTTGTTCGGCACAGGTGGGTGGCCCAGGAGGTGATTCAATGCGTATTCTGGGAGAGTGGACGTTGAGGGGAGGGGAAACCTTGGAGCTTCCTCCAGCTTTCTGGCCTCCTGGCAGCATCTCGGGGAGGGTTCTTTAGAACCCACAACTCTCCTTAAATTCATCCTCTCTGTTTTTTAGAGTAGCCCTTGGCATCAAAGCCCACACAGATGCAGAGAAGGCATGCTTGGAAACAACCCTGCCTCTTATGTTTAAACCAAGTTCTTAGCAGTGTTTATGATATACAGAGAGCGGCTTCCCGGCCAACTTCCCATCAATGCCTTGTAGAAATTCTTATGCTGAACTGACTTCTTTTAGCTCTAAGTAAGAGAAATAGAGCCCTGAATCAACAAAATGTTCTTCCAGTTCTAAAACAAAAGAGGCTGAATTTATTTAACCTGAAACATAAATGTATTCCCAATGTGAGGTCTGCATGCTAAACTCTGGCTGCTGTAAGTGGTAGTGATTCGGTTTAAACCCTCAGAGTGGTTTTAAAATCATTAGTGAACTTCAGCATTTAGAAGGGTAGGGATGCTATTCATTTAAAAAAGAAATTGGTATTTCCTCCAAATATAGAATTTAATATTAAGCAAAATAAATCTGAACCTCAGTGGTGTGTCTCTGATGAATGTTCATGTCGTCTCCCTGTGTGGGGCTCTAAAAATGAAATGAAGGTGGGAGCTTTATGGTGTTTTATTTATTTTTTGTAGCTCAGTATGGCATTCAACAATGCCTAAAACTATCATACTTCTTTTTTAAGTAGGCCA